GGGAGATACACAGAATTGACAAGATGGTTCCGCAACCCCCTCTCCCTCCCGCCTCCTCCTGCCTGCCCTCCTTGATTACCAATCTTCCTAGCCGCTGAACACTGGGTGGGTTTGGATGCCTTTCTGTGGGCGTCCTTGCTTTTGCATTTTTCCTAGCTGAGCCTTGTTTTCGTGTTGTAAGCCATTTTTCAATGTCTTAGAGAAACTTGGTATGTAAAGTATTTTTCGCTTCCAGGCTCCTTTGCCACTTCATTAAAGTGCTCTGTGTCTAAGCTTGTTTATGGGGGTGGGGGGGTACATTAAGTGACTATGGGCACAGTTCCAAGTCCCAAATTGTTTCCTAGGTGGCTGCTTATTCATGTAACTATCTTTTGGTACGAAGCCCTGGATGGAGAGGTGGTAGGTGGGAAAGTAGAAAAGTGGGGTTTGGGTGTCTCTGGTGGTACAAGGGATTAAGTCATAGTACTATGAAGCTATCCACAGCCACTGCAACACGAGTTCAATCCCCAGCCAGGGAGCTGACTCACATGGCGCAGCAGACCTCTCCTGTCTCACCTGCTGCTCCCCTCAGCAGTGTATTTCCATAGATCCACCTGTTCTGCTCCCCACTCAGTCTCTGGTGAATCCTCCCACTCCCACCCCCACCCCCTCACCTCTGGCTTGTACTCACCCCAGTTCTTGTATGTGCAAATAATTTTTTTTTAAAGTGGGGTTCTTTTCCAGCCCTGCTATCAAACGGCTCCGTCACCATTGTTCCACAGCAAACATTTATTTACTCAGTACGTTCTGGGTCAGGCAGTAGTCAGGGCTGTGAGTAAGAGAGGTTCTCCAGGGGAGAACAGATGCTTAGAGAGACAAACAATGTGGAAAAAGCCGCTTGAGTCAGGTTGGTTTTCTTTCTTTTGTTTTTTATCTTAAGCCTCTAAAAGCCCATTTGAGCACATTAAGCCCCACAGATGTCCTGTTGCTCTCCTTAGGGGAAGTGAGCAGCAGGCGGCAGATTTCTGAATTCACTTGCAAGGCCCAGCATTAGGTAGGGAAGTCACACTCCTGTTCCTTGCCCTGCTGCTCCGGCCCACAGTGGGTTACAGCTGAGCACAGCCTCCATGCTAAGGAAACACAGATCAGCACAGGTCTGGGGAGTAGTGGTTGAGAGGCCCTGTCACCAGCACCACCCGCCACAGCCACTCTGTTCTCTCAAGCTGCTGCAGGGCTCATGCCCAACCTCTGCCATCCCTGGACCAGCACCTGCATCCCTAGTAGAAGACGGTGGAACAGGGCAAGTGAGACCCAGTGGGCACTGGAGCTGGGGCATGGGTGCCACGAGCCAGCTGCCCCTCTGCAACCGCAGTGCCTGCTCCATCGTCCCACCAGACAGCTGACCCAATGCAGGTTCTAGATAAGTGTTAAAATTGAAGATAAGCAACCACACTGTTTAAAGCCCTTGGTCTTTCAGACCATCAGCCGTTATGAAGACAGGACCCTTTGTATCATAGGGAAATCAGCCTGTGTGGTTGCTGATTTCCAGAAGGAAAGATGATTGGCTCAGTTTAAGACCCAGATGGGGTAGGGCAGGAACCAGGCTGGTAAGCCAGGCTGGAAGATGCAGGCCATGGACAAGGGTGGGAGCGTGGATGTCCACGCACAGACCTATTAAAAGAGGCAGGCTGTGGGCCCTCCCTGGTGGTGCAGCAGGTTAAAACACAGCACTAAGAAGCTAAAGCCACTTTAGCATGTATGCGATCCCTGCACCAGAGGTGATCCACATGGCACAGCAGACCTCTCCTGACCTGCCCGCAGTTCCCCTCAGCAGTGTACTTTGTAGATCTGCCTTTCTGTTTCCCACTCTGTCTCTGGTGAATCCTCTCACAGCCCCTGCACCTCTGCCCTGTACCCCAGTTCTGTATGCATAAAAAATAAATCTTAAAAAAAATATATGGCAGACTGTTCTGAGAAAAGGTGCTGTGGACCAAACTGATACGGAGGATCCATACTCTGTTAGCACGTGCTGGATAAAGACAGAGACCCTATTTCTAGCTTTACTTATTCAACTGCAAAATAAGAACAAAACCTATAAAAATGCCTGGGTGTAAGACTTTTTCCATTGCTTTTGAAAGGTGCTTTAATTTCCTGGAAAATCAAAACTGTGTGACTAGTTGCTTTTGGCCATAGGATGAGGGAGAAGGGAGAAGGACTAAATGATGCTTGAGTCCCTCCCCCTTTTTTTTTTTAAAGATTTATTTATTTTTTCACACAGAACTTGGGTACAGGCCAGAGATGCGGAGGGTGAGAGGCTTCACCAGAGACAGAGCAGATCTACGAAGTACACTGCTGAGGGGAGCAGCGGGCGGGTCAGGAGAGGTCCGCAGCGCCATGTGGGTCACCTCTGGGGCAGTCGGGGATCGAACTCATGCAGAAGTGGCTTTAGCTTCTTTAGTGCTGTGCTTTAACCTGCTGTGCCACCAGGGAGGGCCGCTTGAGTCCCTCTTTTAGCCCCAAGTTTTTGTTACTCTTATTTCCGCCTAAGCTGCAAAATTTCTGTGCTGTGTATCGTGAGAATTTTATGAAAGAATGTTTTCTTTTCTATTTCTTCACAATACGCAAATAACTTCTTTTTCCTGAAAGCAATTTTTCCCCCCATATGTCTCCTTGAAGGGGGAAGAACTAGGAAGGAGGAGGAAGACAACTTAGGTCATTCTTAAAAAATTAGCCCTTCAGATACAGACTCAGGCATTTTTATCCAAGGAAGGAAATAGCAACAGATTTAGGGACTGTATCATTTTCTAACCCTCTGAAAGATATTCTCTCTTGAGTTCTTAAATATATGATGTGGTCTTTAACAGCACAACAAATAATAGGCTCAGTAAATGTTTCCTAGCATCTGCCGTGTTCTGGACACTGTTCTGGGTGTCGGGGCTTCTAACATAATGGGCTTCACCACCTAAGGACTTAAAACGCTAACAACTCTGATACAGGGTGACTGGACTTGACTTTTATTTTTCTTGGTGCCTTGGATTCCCCTTTATCCCTATGTATCCCAAATGTATACGGTTATAGTAATGAAACAAGATGATAAAAATTGCATCTTAGAGGGAGGGAGTCTCTGTAGGCCTGGAGGAGCTTCTGACCACAGGAAATTCAAGAGGGTATGGGAAGTGGTTTTGGAAGCAAACAAGGACGTCAGAATTCACATTAAAGATGGTGTGAAAATCATGACAGAGGAGCCCTTGCACAGTGCTAAGGGGACATTCTGAGAACTTTATTCAGACCAATGAAAAGCACCAAGAGGACTCCTGGCCCCAGTTGAATTTTTTGCTCAGAAGCCTTCAGTGGTATGATAACTATTTGGAAATATCTCTGCAGTCCATTCCCATCCCACTCAGCCATCAGCAGTGTCTGCTTTTGATAGTCTAACTGTGGTGCTGTGCTGTTTTCTTGCTTTTTGACCCAGAAATTACTGGGATTTGTTAGCTTGACTGGAAGATAGAGAACACAGCAGGGTTTCTCCTTAATTACTGTCCTTTCCATAATTCTTTGTAAAGGAATTGATTTTTTTTTCTTTAATGGAGTTAGTGTACTCCTTGAAAATGTCACTCTAACATTGATTTGAAGTTTCATCTGCCATCTTGAAGCTAAAGGGTGACCAAATATTACTTTAAAATAGATCATATCCTGTAAATTTTAAGAGGACCTATAAAATGTGCTTTATATGTGTTAGTCCCAGAAGTGTGATGATATCTTCAATAAAATATTTTAATATGTTTGATGTAAGCCCACTCATTACCAGCTCTCTTTATCACCTACTTTTCTTGTGAATAGTTGGGGCTAAAAGGGCAGTTATTATTATCACTTCCCACTACCACGCAGTACTAAGGACATAGAACACCTACTCTGTGTGTATTCATAATGTTGAATTCTTTATGATGCTGCTGGTTTCATACTGTTTTACAAATGAGGAACTTAAGACTTGGGGAGATTACATCCAGGATCACACAGCTGGAATGTAGCCACTCTAGGACTTGAGCACTCTGATGCCCAAGTTCTTGCTACTTGGCCATGGCTGCTCTTGCATTGCGACAGGGTTTCAGGGTTTTTTTTAGAGGATACCAAGAAATGGTAGGGTTTTTTTTTTTTTTTGCTAAGATACTTATCACTTTGGACTCCCCACCCCATAAGGGTAGGTCTTTAATAATCTGATAATGCAGTGAGCAGAGAGGCATCAACCTATTTGCTCTCTGAGCTTCTGTGACTTGTGCAAAGGCTGTTCCATGCCTTGCAGGACCAAGGCTTGGAGATGGGTGGGAAGTCTTGCTGGAAGGCAGCAAAGCACGATGGAAAGAACATGGTTTCTGGAGCCCCATTCCTGTGAAGCTCTATCTCTTGTGTTGTGTGCTAGGTTCTTCTTAGGTCGTAAATAAAATAGCAGTAATAGTACCAACCCGGTAGGATTCTAGGGAGGTTGGAATTGAGTGAGACAAACTCTGAGATAGACACAGAACACTCAACGCTTGTTAGTTACAATTGCCAAAGGCTTCATCTTACTTTTTCCACAACTCTTCCATGCCTGCGCTCCTTGATGGACACATGGTACTGTAGAAGCTTCTATGCTGATGTCCATCCCCACATTTAACTCTTTAGAAGAATCTATTCTTTCTGCATCATTTCCCATTGCTTTAGTGTTTCCTTTTCTGAGTTTAGATGTAGGGCTTGAAGGAGTCAACTTTCATCCTTCTGTGGCTTCAGTCGAGCCTGTGGCTGGCCCTTCCCTGATCAGAGAAGGGGGGTTGGTAGTTGGGTTTGGCACTCGTATTGCTTTCTGGTGCCGAACTGCTTTACTGTCTCCTCCTGAGCTTTGACCTTTCAAGGGGACAAAAGGCTTCCCCTTGGAAATACGGAAATACGACGAGCACAAAGCTTTCTTGAACTCCGTGCCCGCACCCAGTCGCCTTGTCACACTGCAAAGTAGCCCAACTCTTGTGTTTTCTGTTCTCTTTTGGCAGAACCAGCTTCTTGCAAAAGGACTGTTGTTTGTGGAGGAGAAGATTAAGCTGTGTGAAGGCAAGTACGAGGGTGCCCTGGTACAGCGGGGCCCCTGTGACTCAGTCTTTGATGTTTGGACAGCTGAAGCGCTTCTGTCTAATCGTGGCAGGCTCCAAGGGGTGACTCAGCCTGGCTGTGGCTTCCAGGCTAGGCAGCAGTAGTCTGCTTTGAGTCAGCACTCTGGGAAGTGCAAGTCAGAAGTAGGTTTTGAAAGATGAAGCGAACCGGGGAGGAGTCCTTGGAGCCCTCCCTAAGCATTCATGCCAGTGGTCTCCTTTGAAGGGAGAAATTAGTCTGCAGATCTGCTGCTCCCTCAGGTCCAATCCAGGCGACTTCCTATAGGCCTTTTAAAAATTTCTTAAGGTCACGCATGACAGGAGACTTTCCCACCTGGGAGATGTCAGGCTAGGCAGGCACCCACTGGTAAGGGTATGACTTGACAGATAGAAAAACTTCCTGACCTTAAAAGATTTTCAAGTTTAAGTGACAGGAATGAAAGGCCCTGAGGTAGAGGAGGGAGGTGGACCCAGAGGCAAGAATCAACCAACTGTGACTTCACCAAAGACCACGCAGCTCCCACCAATGTGGGTCCAGATCTCAACTCCCCACCTCCACCTCCTGCCTGGTGACTTGGGCAAGCTGCTCGTTTCTCTGCACTTTCTGCGAGAGATAAGGCAGAAATTGGTATAATATTACAAATTCATGTTGCCGCAGTGTAAAAAAAGTAAAAACAAAGAGAAAAGGGCGAAGTGGGGTCAGAGAATGTAAAGGGTGGGAAGCACGTAACCGGCACAGAGCTGTACGTGACGCGTGAGAGGTGGGCAAACGACGTGAGAGGTGGGTGAACAGCCCCCTTGGTTCAGGGTCCAGATTTGTAAGCCATTGGGTCACTGTCCTTATTAACTGGAAAAGTGACTTGTGTTCAGTGAAAGTGGTTCCTAGATAGACAAAGTAGGAAGAAAAATGAGAAACTGATCCTGGAAGGTTCCAGAGCCTGGCACCCAGAGAGTGTTCAGAAGAGGCTAGAGCCTGGTCTCTGTGTACTTGAGAGTTGCCTGTGCTGCATCCTGTCTCCCTTGAATCTGCCTTTTCTGTGACTTTTTCAACCTTCTCACTACCCACACACCCAAAGCTGTTTTCACAGTGATTTACTTCAAACTAAGGGACCTTTATGCATTTTGGGCTCAGGCTAGTGCACAAGTGTGTAGTAAGAGGAAAAAACAGCATGGTGACCGCCACATCATTTATCTGTAAATCATTTAAGGAATTATGACATGCTCTTGGCAAGGTGGAAACCCTGCTTCATGAAAAGGCCAGTGAGCAAAACTAGAGATTCAGGTGCCCTTGAAGGGAAAGCTGTCAGGTGACTCTTAACATAGGTACATGGGTGAAGATTTCAGAGTAGGGCAAGGTGGCAGAATCAGGGGTCACCCAGCACTCTGTGCCTCTGCCAAGCACGTGGCCGAGGGACCTGGACCCCTGGGGTGCTCTTCTGTGGGGTCTGGGAGTCAGAGATAGTGAGGCACCCACTTTCTGTGCTGTGAAGAGACTTTCATGTCTCCAGCCAGAGCATCTCTCACCTCTACTTTTCATTTATACCATTATATCATGAGTCCAAGAAAGATCTCGCTTGAAGAAAAGGATGCTCTTACTACAAAGTATAGTGTGGAAGCACCTGGTTGGCTCCCACCTGTCGCTGACCAGACTCACTTTATTGCTTTATTTCTTGTCTCCACAGCCACCTGTGGCTACAGAAAAGACAGAGGTGGTCCTGTCCTCCTGTCTGCTTTTGTGGGCAGGAGGTGCCACGTGACCGTGACCACCTTCCTAGTGCTTTAGTGACCTTGACCTTAAAGGAGTTTCCTGTGCCAGTTCTGTACAGCTCTGGCCATCCAAATTTCCATGGCACCTCAGAGGACAGTTTCTATAGAATAATCATCTAGAAAATTCCACCCAGCCCCCGCCCTCCATCACTGTAGGGAGCTAAGCCCGTGACTTGTGGGCTGTTACTGGAGGTGAAGACATCTCTTACCTTTAACTCTTTCTTCCCCGGGGGCTACCCTGTTTTGTTAGCTTGTGTCTGTCTGATGTTCTTCTCTGAACACTTTCCAAAACCTCCATTACCCTCTGAAGTTTGCAGCCAGCAATTAGATCCAGTTCCCAGAAGGCGCCACTGGGCTACCAGAGGGATTACTTCATGTGCTGAGGAGCTCTTCGTCGTGGTGTGGGTGAAGGGGTGGGGTTGAAGAGGTGGGGGTGCACACCTGCACTGACCTGCAGCACCCTCCCTTCCTTGCCCACTTTTGGGCTATAGGACCTCTTCTTGTCTTGGTAATGAAAGGCTTCAGATAAAGGCCTTCAATAAAGGAGCTGGACAAGCCTTTTCTTATTTGGGGTACATTGTCCAGATGTTGGGGTCCAACTAAGGTACCAGAGTGACCTTAAACTTGAGATGGTTTTTCCGACTTCTCTAACTCCTCCTTACAGTGACTAGGAAAGCTTAGATTTGAAAAGAAGAAGGTGATTCATTCATTTATTTAAAGACTTATTGGTTCTCTATTAGATGCCACATACTTTACAAGGTGAACAGAACAGTGGAGAACAAAACCGATCATAATCATAGGATTATAGGCCTGCATGGAACTCACAATCTGATAGTGACAGCTAGGTAATAATCGGGTCATCCACAAATATAATACCATCACCAGGGCAGGTATTATAAGAGTAGCTGGAATTTGAAGAATTTGACCAGTGGGGCCAGATATTCCTACGGAGATCCTCTAGTTGAAACTAGAAAGGTAAGGAGATGCAGGTTAGGCCAAGAGGAGAGAGTAATGTCTAGGCAGAGAAGCATCTGCAAGGCACGGTGGCATGAAAGCATGTGAGAGTGAGGGACTAAAATTAACTCCACATAGTTAGGACTCAAAGATGCAGGGAATACAGAGACAATGAATATGCAAAAGAAGGGACAGACTCTCCGACCCGTCCAGGTCAGCCATGTCATAGAGGTTTTCTGTATCCTGAGAGCAAAGGAAAATATTCCGGCTAGCTAGTAAGTCCCATGTTGGGGTTAAACAGCAAGCTGCTTCCAGGTACCAGTTTTAACATCTGCAGAAACCTGTACTCTTGATACTAGTCATTCGTTCATTCATTCCAAGATCTCTAAGGATTGATTTAGCTATGTGTCTGGCCTTGTGATAAACACTGAACCCACAGTGGAGAGCGGGACAGGAGGAAGCTCACTCCTGTCCTGCGTCCACTGAGCTCATGCAACAAAGTGCAGTCAGCCCTTTGCAGGAAGTAGAGGGAGCCATGGCTGTGCATTCCCCCTAGTGTGTCTCACACTGACCTTTCAAAACCTGCAGGGCTTTGGCCCGCTAGCTACTAGTCACGCCTTTGTTCTCTTCTTTCTCCCAGCCACTGCTTTTATTGCCCGTTAAATTAATAGACAGACGATGCTAAATGAATCTTTCAAGATTTGTTCAGTAGAACTGGTAGTGTTTTGCCAGATGCCTCTCTCAGTGACTAATCTTGGCTGACCCAGTTTCTCTGCTTCTGATGAGCAAAGACAGTGCCCAATGAGCTTTGTTATCTAGGTCATTAACAGCCTCCTTTCAGCTCCTCTCTGCCAGGGCAGGTGCAGAGTTCCTGAACAGCCTTCCGATGGCACTGGGTGACCTGTGTCCGACTGACCTGGGGTGGAACGTGGCTGTTGCTGGGGGTGAGAGGAGAGCCCTGGGTTTGCAGGTGATCTCCCCAGCAAATGCTGCCCTCCCAATTACTGCACAGCAGTGAGTGGGGGTGACAGTTGCTGGCCCGCTCAACCACAGTTCAAATCCAAAATAAAAAGCCAGTGTCTTAGTGATTTACAAAACACTATAGAATGAATTCTGCATTTGCTCTTCCCAGATTATGTTGGTCAAGAGCATGCGTTCTGGAATTCCAGCTCTGCCCTCTAGCTAGATACTTGCCTTCTGAGCCTGCCAAAAGAGTACAGAGTGATATCTACTCATGAGATAGTTTATAGACGAAGAGTCTAGCACAATTGCCTGATAATAAAACCAGTGTCATGATAATAGCAACTATTACACAATTTTCAGGTTTTTGAAATTTCAAGTTAATCTCACACTTCAATTCCTTGTTTGGATTGGGAAATAGAAGCTATGCTTGCCTAATCTCAATCCCACCCAATCCCACTTTACCCCATTGAACATGAGTTCTCTTTCCCTCTGCCCCCGAAATGCTCTGGCCTCTCCTGCAAGTAATGACAAGTTATTTTCTTTCTTTCCCCCCTCTCCCACCCTCTTGTCCTCATGTAGGTGAAAATCGCATTGAGGTTCTGGCTGAAGTCTGGGACCACTTCTTCACTGAGACTCTCCCCACCCTGCAGGCAATATTTTACCCAGTTCAGGTCAGTCTCACTGGGGAGCGAGCTCCCGCTGGCCTCGGCTCTCTCTCTTATTTTTGGGCCTTCAAAACTTGGAGCCTCCTGGTGACTGGAGGGGAACCAGGAGATGGGGCGCTTGAGTTGCCGAAGGACCCTGGAGATCTTTGGAGGGCTCTCTGGTTCTATATTTAGCATCTAGCCTCAAGCAAAGAAGAGCGCCTGGATACCTAGCAATTTGTCAGCTCCCTCACCCGCTTGGTTCTGATGTCTTCACGTTCTTCAAGTGGTTTGCTTTTTCTTTCAGAAGTAGAGAAGATGGGAAATTTGGTGTTTTTTTTTTTTCCTTCCCTTCACCGTTCTTCTTCCCCCACACCTTTTTTTGAAGCCCAATTAGAAGCAAGTTCCCTGTTGCCTCCACAATGTGGGAACACTGGGCTTTGTCCTCCAATAAGGACCCCTGAAGATGAGATGCCACATGTACCGCCGCAGAAAGAGGCCTGGGCTTGTCATTGGTAGTGTGGCTTCAGGGAAAACTACCACATCAGACTTCTCTGACCCTAGCTCCATTTCTCCTCCTGCAAAATGAGGGATTTAGAAAAAAGACAAGACACCTGTCTTAATTCTGTGAGCTCAGCTCCTTCTCTCTGAGGTCTCACTTCCCTTCTACCTTCCTGCAGAGGCAAATAGCCGGACTGCTCATTGCCAGAACACAATGGACACCCCTGGGGCAGGCTGATGAACAGCTGTTCCTAATCTCACACGTAGGCTGCTCTGGGCTCACTGTCCCCCTCCTTCCAAGGGGGTGACTGCTCCCGCCTACCCTAACCTACCAGCCTAACCTAACCTGGCTTTGCTGAAGTTTGGGCCTGGGGCACGGCATTCGTGCCACCTTAGCCATGGCAGGGTTACATGGTAAGGGCCCATGTGCTTGGTTCGCTTGAATGATGTTCAAAGGAATTTGAAGTTCTTTTAAATGTGTGTGTCAAATGTTTACAGCTTAGGAGGTGATACCTATAGAGTCCTTTTCCCATGTTGGGCTTGCCGCTGGTAATCCCAGACTGTCCAGCTGCCCATGCTCTTGTCATCCAGCCCCAGCTCCATCCTGCACCCAGGAGAGGATTTACACCTGCAGGCCTCTCAGCAAGCAGTAGGTCTTCTCTTAAGAAGGCAGACCGGGGCCTCCAGATTTAGCAAATAAAAATACAGGAGGCTTGGACCTCCCTGGTGGCGCAAAGGATTAGCACTGCAAGCTAGCAGGAGCTGCTTCAGTGTGAGTTCGATCCCAGGCCCCGGAGGTGACCCCAATGGTGCAGCAGACCTCTTCTGTCTCATCTGCTGTTCCCCTCAGCAGTGTACTTCATCATTCTGCCTGTTCTGCTCCCCACTCTGTCTCTGGTGAGTCGTCTCACCGCCCTGTACCTCTGGCCTGTACCCCAGCTCTCTATGCACAAATACATAAATCTTAAAAAAAAAAAAAATACCAGAGATCCAGGTAAACTTGAATTGCAGATAAACAATGAATAATGCAATAGTTGGGACATATGTATACTAAAAAAAAACTACTCAAATTTGCCTTGTACTTTATCTGGCTGTATAATTAGAGGGGGTTGTGTGCACCTGTGTCTCCCTTGGGACCATTGTGCAGGGCATCTAAGGTGTAGGTACCCAAGTGGGTATAAAATGGCTGCACATAGAAGCTGGGTTGACTTGGCCTTGAGTTTAATCCTGGGGGGCCAACAGGGGCCCTGTGTAGCTCCTCCAGAACCAGCAGGAGTTAAGTGGCATGTGGCTGAGGATAGCACCATCCTGCTTCTCTTGGAAAACTGTAAGCTCCTGTCATAACTGGTATTGCCCCCATCCACCAGCCACCTGCAACTTGCCAGGTGATGCTGCTGCTGCTCCACCCCACTTGGAGAGCCACTGCTAGGTGTTGTCCCTACCTGAGGTGTCTGTTAGTCCAGCTAGACTCCGCTTACAGTGTTCTGTGTGTGTCTGTGTCTGAGACAGCTGCTTTCTGGGGCAGGGTCTTAAATGCCTGCTTTGTTCAAAGGTGCGGGACTTTGCCTTCCTTTCCTACCTTGGTAAAGTGAAAGGTATCCCGGAGATGAAGCGAGGGCACAGAAAACCACACGCACTGGTTACTGGAGACCTGGGTGTGAAAATTAGGAAGTGTGGGAGCTTGGAAGTGACTGGGGAGAAGGCCTGCCTGTGGAGCAGGTTAGGGAAAGCCTTCCCAAGGGGTGGCTGAGCTGAGCCTGAACTTGTGGCTGCTGGTGGTGAGTGGGCTCACCAGCATGGGAAGGCGGAGATGGCCAGATACATTGCCTGTGTTATACCCACCCCACGGAGTTAAACTGTGAAGGGCTGCTTTGTCATTCCATTGGGAGGGAACCTTAGTGACATCTGCCTCTAGTAAGAGCAGTGATTTTTTGTGGGTGCTGTATATACAGGTGCAAAGGAGAGCCTAGGAATGCCTTCTTTTCCTTTTCTGGTTTGAGATATGGTTGTTCCAGAATGACAAAGGTTTGAACTCTATTCGTGGATCTTTTTTTCTGACTCAGGAGTTTTGCACCCACCAATTCAAGCATCTCCAGATGTTGGTTGGTTGAATCCACATGTACAGGATCTGAAGATAGTGATGGCTGTTCCAAGTTTGTACGTGAATTTTTGCACCAAACAGGACGTCACAGACTCTCACTCCGCATTTTCCTAGAGTCACCTGTATGGATCAGGTTTAAATCCAGGTGTCTTTGGGTAAATTGCTGTCACTCTGGGCTTTAGGGCTTGGGACCTGTGAAGTGAGTTTTATGATAATACCCACCTCAAAAGGTGTTCATGTCATTTACCTCTAAATTATTGAGTCCTAACTAAAGCATACAGAGCTTAATAAGTAGCAGCTCTCACAATTAGTTGTTTTCATCCTCTGAAAGTCCCCCTAACGTGGTAGAACAAGCTCCTTTCCTTCTATTTTCCAGCTATGTTCCCTCCTAGTTCCTTTTGTCTATAAATGAGTCTCAGGGGTCTGAGGTTTTCTAAGGGGGCACGTGCCCTCTGCTCAGATACCTAACAATGCCATGATGGTCCTGAGTGCGGGAAGGTGATGCTGATCTTCTCCTTCCTCCCAGTCTTCCTCACCATGATAGCATCGCCCGATGAGCTGTGTTTCATGCGACCTCGGGTCATTAGACAGGTTGAGTCACACCTCATCATCACCAGTGCTTGCGTTCCGCAGGACAGAGTCTAATCTTTGACTCTCCGGCAGCCCCCCTGGGGCTTTGCAGGCAGCTTGTCCTGCCCTGTCGCATCCCCAGTCCTCTGTGCACACCGTTGTCCTGACCCCATGTGGCTGGGGGAAGATCTACCTCCTGACCCTGTTTCTTCTCTCATCTCAAGGGCCAGGAGTTGACCATCCGCCAGATCTCCCTGCTGGGCTTCCGGGACCTGGTCCTGCTGAAGGTGAAGCTGGGGGACCTGCTGCTGCTGGCCCACCCCCAGCTGCCCTCATCCATCGTGCAGATGTTGCTCATCTTGCAGGTGAGGCAGGTGTGAGGTGACCCCAAGGCCAACGGGGGAAGAGGGCGGAGACCGCCCTGCGGGGTATGGGGAGAGGGACCAGATGACCAGAGCACCTCAGCTCGATTTGGCATTCTCTCTCTCTCTCTTTTTTTTTTTTAAGATTTATTTATTTGTGCACACAGAAGTGGGGTACAAGCCAGAGATGCAGGGGATGAGAGGATTCACCAGAGACAGAGTGGGGAGCAGGACAGGCAGATTGACAAGATACACTTTCCATCCTTGATTTTCTGAGCAGGACCGCAGGGAAGCAAGCCTGCGTCACCATCATGGCTTCTCCCAGACATGATGTGAGGGCAGACGTGAGGGCCTTAGGCCAGGGCCTGGCGCACAGCACTGAGTGCTAGTCATTGACATCATTGATTATTTGTCAAGAAAGAGGCTGTACTTAAACTTATCAGCCAGTGAGTGAAGGAAGCGCGTGAGACATCACAGTAGCTCACGGGCTGCCACAGAGAAGGGGGCCAGAGACTCTGTCTTCTGTCCCCCAGGCCCTGTGTGTCAGTTACCAATAGCAACAATTCTTGCTGGTGATACGTCCCAGGTCTCGGCTGACGTGTAGTCCATGGGGCTAGCTCCACCCTCATAGTCTCTGTCTGTCCCCTGCTGACCCACAGCCCCAGCCTCCAAGTCTTCTGGACTCTTCTCAGCCTCCTTTATGTCTCCAAAAGTGGGGAGACTCCCTCCCAGGGGGTCACTTCCTCCCTAAGCCTTCTCCAGCCCAGACAGTTCTGCTTTGGAGTGTGTTTCCTAGGGAGCCCTCAGCCAGTCACCCCCTTCACAGTCTGTAGTAGCCCTTCCCCTTCACAGTCTTCCCCTGCGATCCACCCAAACTCTGGTGTGGTTGGAGTTTTCACTTTTTAAATGAAGGTGATTAAATCTGTTCCAGGTGGAGGATTTGACAGGACATCCTGTTGGGCTGAGCCCAGCCCTGTGCAGTTTGTCACTCCACTTCTCTGCAGCCCCTCTACACGAGAGTGTGACCTCTAGCCCCCTTTGGCAAAGACCTGATTCCCTAGGAGTCTGCTGCTTTTCTAGAAAACATGGGTTACTCACCAGCACCTTCCTGCTCTGAGTGTTGTGGTCATTTGGTTTTAGTTGGTGTTTCCTTGGGGCTTACCCCTGAGGGTGCCTGCCATGCGAGGCTTTTGAACTGACTCTTCGTGGGTTGCTAAATGCGTGTCTAGTTCCAGAATGACTCTCTTCGACTGATCGGGACTTGCCCATCTCCTGGCCCCTCTCTTTCTGGCATGAAATGGCAGTAAAATGGACTCAGTGCCTGGGCTCCATCCCCTGGCGTTTGGACACTCACCAGCTGTGTTTTCCCAGGCTAGTTAAGTAATTGCCATCTTAGTTTCTTTTCTGCAGAAGGGCGATAATCAGAGAGCCAGTGTCCTTGGGTTGTCAGGAGGCCTCTGCCGTGATTGACACAGGGAAATGCTGAGGTGATGAGCTTGTATAAAGAGCCTGTGTGCTGAGTGTGAGGCGCTCAGCATGAGGGTGGGAGATCAGTCAGCCCTTAACCCTGCTCTGGGGGGTGGGAAGTGCTGCCCAGGCTCAGAGGTGGGGCCCGTGGCTCCCTGCCTTTGTACCCACCACACACAGTCGTAATCGCAGGCACCCATGACAAGAGACTTGCACCTCCAGCCTCTGGGTCAGCCTAGCCACACAGATACCGCCTGGGGGGGACACAGCCATGGACACAGGCCGATCAGGTGTGTTGGCCGAGGGCCGTTGCCGGTGTCTGACCTCTGTCTCTCCGTGTTCATTTCAGAGCGTTCATGAGCCCACAGGCCCAAGTGAGGCATATTTGCAGCTGGAGGACCTGGTGAAGCAAGTGGTTTCTCCCTTCCTTGGCATCAGCGAGGACCGTATCTCAGGCCCCACATTCATGCTGGGTAAGGGCACAGCTGGAGCTCTGCGAGTCGCTGTGATAACCTGTGTTTCACTGGTCACGTGTCCAGGCCTTTGTTTCTGCAAATCTGTGTACGTTTATCGCACACTTCTGACTGACCCATGTCACGGTAACCTCCCCACTTGGGGCTTCCTCCTTGGGGACCAGTAGTGGGTCCTTGTGGCGGTGCCTAGATCCACATCTTCCATCAGTGACTTTGCTATTTCACCTCGCTCAGGATGTTAATTTCCCTGAAGCTGATATTAGAAACGAAATCTTCCTGCATCCTCTTCCCTGTGGAGTGGACAGACCCCAGCCCACCCTGGTCCCCCATCCCCTGTCCCCCCACCAATGTGGATATCTCTTTGAAAACAGCTCCAAATGTGAAGCCAACTCTTTGAGTATATGGTCAACAAGATGGAGCCCCCGTTCCGGACTTTTGTTTCTTGTGGGGGTCTTCATTCAAAGGAAAGAGACTTTTGAATTTGGGGATAAATCTTGATGGGGCCTTTGTCGATGGCTGTATATCAAGCATTAGCATCAGGCTTAGAACTAGACAATCTAGCCCTGATTTGGATCTGTTCCGTGTTGCAGGGAGAACACAGTCTAGTTGGGAAGGCGGCTTTATTAGAAGGCTAGTCCTGAAAGACAGCCTACAGTCTGAAATAAAGTCCCCAAAATGTAGGGCCTTTTTGTTTCTCGCTCTGTCTCCAGCAACTGGAACAGTGCTTAGCAGATAGTAGTAAGCACTCAAAAAAAGTTGCTGGTTAGAAAACAGGCAAATTGTAGCCTGACGTCAAGGTGACCAGCAGACAAGGGCAGAAACAGAAGAGATCCTCTGAATTTGAAACCCTTTTCCCCTCTTCTTGTTTAAATGGAGTCATAGCTGAACTTCAAAGAAAAGGAGAGCAAGTACTGGCAGTGAGGTTCCCGCCTCTCCTTGGGCCTCACCCCTGCAGGAAGGCAGTTTTTACCACCCGCTCATGTTTCTCTGGAGACACCAGCTTAACCTCAGCCACCACAAATCAGAGGGTGCTGGCCCCAGCCTGCTGCCTGCCAGGTCCTACCTCCTCCTTCCCTCTGTATTCACTTACTCACCCTCCCCGGACCTGGAACAAGCTAGTGTTGGAATGCCAACTTCCAGGCAAAAAAAAAAAAAAAAAAGCCCTGCTATTGCTGCAGCTCAGTGCAGCCTACGGCCTGGCTTTCTGATGGTGGGCACGTGGACCCAGGTAGATGTCAGGCCACCAGCAGGTGGACAGGACCATGAGAGGCACCCCCCCACACCAGTTGTACCTTGAACCCCAGCAGGTTAGATTTGGAAGCTTATTCAGTGAGGACTTGCTCTAAGGGGATGCCTCCAGCTTTCTAGCTAAAGTAAGAAGAACACATTTAGCAAATTAGGCAAAGACCTAAGGTTTTTTTCTTGCACCAAGAACAAGCCTTTGTTAGGGGGGCACTCCTCACTGTGTACCTACATGCCCAGACCTGTTTGCCCCCTGAGGGTTCTTAGGAAGTCTCTCTTCTTGCCAACCATGCCAGTTTGATTTGAGGGGTGAACCTCACAGCTTTGAATATGGATATAAAGCTCACTTCAGAGAGAAAAGATGAGTTCAAGGACTTGGTGAAGAGAAAGAGAGAGAGAGAGAGAGAAAATGTGTACGTAGGACAGAACAAGTTTGGGAGTATGGAAGAAGATAGTGACATCTTAGCATTTAGAACAGGCACATTGTCAGATACCAGGCCTGAGTCCTACCTGTCTAGTTCCCGAAGTTTCTATGTGGCTGTCCTGTCTGCTTCCAGTGCCTCTAAGTGAACACTCAGCCAGGTTTCTCCCACACAGGAGCCCAGGCCTCCCCCTCACTTCCCTCCTTGATGCACCCCTGGGGAGGGCCGTATTCCTCAGATACCATAGCTTCTCCTCTTGACAAATGGGCATTCAGGTGCCTGGGCTGGAGAGGGCCGGCCACAATGGGCTTGGTGCAGAGGTCACAATGGCTGCCACTGTTCCTGCGAGATCAAAGGCCTGGGAACCAAGTCCCCAACAAAGCCCCCAGCAAGGACGCCTCATCTAAGCTTTGCTTCTTTCTGGGGGTTTTGAAAGAAGCTGCCATTGCTGGCTCTGATGCGGAGAATACACCAGCCAGAGCTCAGCGGGGTGCCTGGCAAGGAATGCAGGCCCCCTCGCCCCCCCCCCATGTGAAAAGCCTGGAGGAGGCCTGGAGGTAGGTACAGGCTGAGGAGGTGGGACCCAGCCCCTCTCCCTGCTCAAGGGGCACCTTTGCAAGGGGAAGACCAATTTTAGGTCCCAGGAGTCCCTAAATCTTCATCAGTCTCTTAGTAGGGGAATTTCTCCTGAGTGGCAGGGTCTGCTTTCTCTGGGCAGAGAAGAAACGGACAGGGAAGAAAGGAAGCATCAGCGGCATGGGAGCTGTCAGCCCCAGGCCTCGCATTCTGTTTTAAAGCATCCCAAGGGGGCCCGGCCAGCCCCACTGGGGACATGACTGACGCACTTCTCTGGGGGTTGGCTCGAGTCTGGCACGATCTTCCTGAACAAACGGTTTGCCCAGGAGACTTAACATAGCCAGCGGCCACCATGGTCTGGACTCTGCCCACACCCAGTCTTGGGAATCAAAACATTCCACCCAGAAGCAAAGGGAAGAGCTGTCTGCTTCCCCCGTGAGTCATCAGCACTGAACAGCCTAGGGCAGCTTCGACTGTGTGACCTGGAGTGAGTGACTGACCGTCTCTGAGTCGCAGAGGGCTGGGCACAGAAGAGGCGGCTGTTTGGCCTCCTGGCAGGACCCAGAGCTGCTCCCTGGGGTTTGACGGGCTGGGCCGTAGCTACAGGGATCTCTGCCCTCCTGGAGTCACTGTAGGTGAGCAGCTGTGTGTGCCTCCTGGACCCCAAAACATATCCTCACCCTTGGGGTGCTGTGTGGTCATGACCTGATTATTTGTCAGCCTCCCCTTTAGACCAGGAGCTTGCTGGGGGTAGGGAGCACGTGGCTCCCCATGGTACCCCAGGTCTCAGCACAGACCCTCTGCATGACTGAAGGGCCAGTGTGAGTCCAGACTTCACTCCCACATGCGCTTCTGAAATGAAATCTCTTCTGAATTCCCAGAGCACTGGGTACCCGTGCCAGGTGCTGGCACATTGACTCATTTGGCAGTTACCTAGCAGACAGTAGACACACAGCTAAGGATTATTCCTAAGACCCTGCCTGCCCCGACACACACACACACACACACACATCCTCTCACTCACATGCGCACACACACATCTCTAACATGCACCCCCCACACACTGGGTTCAAGCTCCTGTAGCAGACCCCACGTCAGAGGCCTCTTCCTCACAACAGCTTTTCCCAGGTAGTCTCTCCAGAAGAGTGTGTTGAAGGCGAGCGGGCGTTGTGGGGACCACTGTCCTTCTGGCTCGATCTATGAGTCCTGCCCAGCAGAGTCCCGTGACCTCTCTCGTCAGTCTGCTGCCTCTTTGGGCCTGCAGGGACCCTGGGCTGCGTGACTAAGGTGACCCTTGGCCCCCCGCTGCCACACCTTTCCTGGATCACTCTGCCAGCTTGTGCCCGGATGTCCATTCCCTCCAGAGAGGCTGCCCCTGGGTACCTGGTGCCCCCGGCTTACCCTAAGTCTGCTCCAAGCCAGCCCTTCCTCCAGCTCTTTCCTCTTCCTGCACTGCCCATCCCGCCCCTGTCTGCACGTCCCAAGCCTTAGCCATGTAACGTCTAACATTAGTATCTCTTCTTTCCAGATACCCCCCCATTCAAATGGAATCCTTTTTGGGTCCCCCGTAGACATGACGTAGCATCTGCCTACCCTCTGCCCTTGCACGACATCCTCCTCCCCGACATCCCTGCTGGCACCCTCTCACCTAGTCTCAGCTGGTCTGGCCCTGTCTCCTGCTGGGCTGGTTGTAGGGTCTGGGCCATGACAAGGGTCCACCAGTCTCAAGTGCCTGCTTTTAGCCAGTAGCAAGAGACAAACACACTGTTTTCAAGGGCTTTTGTTTCTTTGAACTCTTCTGATGCACCCGTTTTACGGTTAATCGATTTTTCTGATCATAAAAGTAACACATGGTCATTGTAAAAATGTGGGAACATTACAGAAATGTGTAGTTGGCGGGTACATGCATTGTGCCTCAGAGTCTCTGTCAATGCCTGGCCTAGATGGTTCTGTCTTGGTTGTTCCTTGGCTTTGTGTCTGCTATTCATTTTTCTCCAAGGAGGAGGGCTGATGACTCAGCTTCTTGTTGGCATCTACTGGGGGCCAGTGCTTGCTGTTTCTGACTCAGAGAAGGGGCCAGTTTGTTACCAAAGGTGACAGCCAGTGCAGGGAAAGTCTGGATGCCTCCGTGGAGAACCTGAGAGAACTGGGCTAACCTTCAGTGTTTCCCACCTGAGCAATGGGGAGCCCGAGACCAGCCCTGGTGTTTCAGAGGCAGGTTGGGACTCACTGTGGGACAGTGGTGGGAACACTCAGTAAAGGTTAGATTCTCCCTGGCTTGTCTGACTGAGCTTATTACCGCTGTTATGTCCACTAGCTCACAGGGGCTTCTGACCAGGAGACTTGGCGACTTCGTTCTCAGGGCTAGAGAGTCCCTGTCTTGTCCTGTTTGCACATATGAACATGCACCTATGTCTATCTGTGTGATGCAGCCTAACGGGAACAGCTGTGAGTGTGGAAGGCCACAGTGGGTCTCACGACAAAGACAACTTGGAGCAGAGTGTGCATTAGGGTCCTCCAGGCCCACAGGCGAGCTGAGGATAACGCTGCTGAGCTGAGTTTGTTCGAGGCTAGTCTGTGTAGCGGGTGTTTGCTTTCCTCTTAGGAGCTCTGCCCCCTACCTTTCTGTCAAGAGTACCCAGAGGAGATCCATGTTGCCAGGCCCATCTCTGTCTCCCACGTTGCATCCCCATGCTGAGAGAAGGCTGTGTTTTCTCTGTGGGTCTTGGGGACGTTGGAGCTGTGGAAAGCAGTGACAGTAGACATGGGAGTAAACATGGGACACTAGATGGATGGAAGGCTGGGAGAGGTGTGCTCTAGAGGTGGTTGAAAAGTAGAAGAGGAGGCCCTCCCTGGTGGTGCAACAGATTAAAGCACAGCACCATGAAGCTATTTCAGCACAAGTTCGATCCCCCGCCAGGGAGGTGACCCACATGGCGTGGCAGACCTCTTTTGCCTCGCCCGCTGCTCCCCTCAGCAGTGTACTTTGTCGATCTGCCTGTTTTGCTCCCCACTCTGTCCCAGGTAAATCCTCTCACCGCCCCTGCACCTCTGGCTGTACCCCAGTTCTGTATGCATAAGTAAATAAATCTTTAAAAAAGAAAAGAAGAAGAGAGCCCACTCAGTGCCCCAGCCCCACCTCACCTCAGCGTCCCTGAGGTCCTCATCGAGCTCCTGCGGCAGAGAAAGGAGGGACATCTCTGGAGGGGCCCCGGGAGGAGACTGCCCTGGACCAGGGACATTCAGACGCGTGTGGCCCTTGGCCTGGTTAGGGACTGCAGGCCTCTGTACCACAGGTCCTTGTGAAGGCGGGCAGAAGAGAGGCCCTCTTAATCGGGGAGTTTCCAGCACATTTGCTTTCTCCTTTGCATCGTCTCCCTGGACTTCAGTTCCTTGACTGTCTTGGCTCCTCTCCACCCCGCCCTTGACTTTCCTTCCTTCTGGAGGGCAGTGGGGCTCACTGGTGAATTGACTTGTTTTCTGGAGACCACACCTGCCTTCATACGAGCTTTTGCCTTCCTTTTGGGACACTGAGAAGGTTAACTGTTCAGCGTTTGGCTTCCCTACCTGTAAAATGGCGTTGACGTCGAGAGGGTTTCATTGCTTCATGCCTGGCAGGTGCTCAGTGCCGACTCTCAGCTGTCCGGGGCCTTAGCCGTCCATGCTTCTCTCGTCATCTCTTGACGCCCCTTGTTTCACCCACCCCCTGCACACAATCACACGTGAGGACAGCTCCACCCTTGACCCTCTCTTCATCCTCAGAGATGGCACATTCACTCTGAGAACTCCAGACATGCCAGGGTCCAGGGATCCCACCTTTTGAGGGCCCCAAATCTTTCCTTCTCATCGTGAAAGAAGTGCATGCACATGGAATGAGATTTGCAAAATGTATTTTAAAGAGATAAAGGAGAAACTCTAAACATCCCTGGTCATCTCTACCCAGAGATAACTAAGCACTATTAATATTTTGATCCATAGACTGTCTTGTTTTTACACATATGTATGCATAACATACACATTTTATATGTATGTGTGTGCACGGCACCTAATAGAACCCCAGTTTTAAAGAGGAAAAAAGTACAAGTGGGAAATACTGTTCATGGATGAGGACACACCAGCGAGGGATGCTCTTCGCCAGCTCAACCGTGAAAGGTGGGAGAAGGACATGGTTAGTCCTGGGTCAGGGCAGCTTGCGGCTCTTCCCACTGCCCTGGTCTTGATAGTTGAGGCCCCGGTTACATCCTTCTGTGCATTTAAGCTGATGAGCTCTTTGACACTTCTGCTCTTGGCACCACCAAGGCCGTGTCCGGTTGGATGGAGCCGGGGGGCTGTTCCAGCCAGCACCCCGTCATCACAGGGGAGGGCTGCAGTGGAATTCAGGGCAAATCCAAGCTCAGGCAGCAGCTGGCAAGGAGGTTCCCTTGAACCTAATCTATCGAGGAAAGTTCTTTGGTGACCCCTCATCAGAGGTGGATGGGGCAAGAGCTGGGGTAGACAGGTGGAGTTGCAAGTGAAATCTTCAGCCATCACCGAGTTCTCCCTTGCTCTTCATCAGAGCTGCACATAAAGCTGTTCCTGAAAGTGGAGTGTGCACCTGCTTCTTCCCCCAAATTAACCAGCAACCTCAGACCCTCACCTGCCTCGCCCACTGCAGCCTTTACCTGTTTGTCTCTTGCAGCCAGACGCCACTCCAGGGTCCGGCCCAAGGTGACCTACCTGAAGTATGGCTCGCCCACCAACACAATCAGCCGGCCGCTGAATGAGAAGGTCCTGAGCCCCCTGACGGAGCAAGAAGGGGAGGCCTACCTGGAGAAGTGTGGCAGCGTCCGGCGGCACACGGTGGCCAATGCCCACTCGGACATCCAGCTGCTGGCCATGGCCACCATGATGCATTCGGGCCTCAGGGAGGAGCCAGACAGTGAGGACAAGTGCCTACTGCTGCCCCCCCACTTCTCCCCTTCCCACCGGCAGTGCTCCAGCGAGCCCAACATCACCGACAGCCCGGATGAGGGGGCGGAGGTGGCAGGGGGCGACCAGGAGGACTCAGACCTGAACCTGCTTCCCTCAGCTGAGACCTACTCAGACTTCCTAGCTCCTGCCCAGCCACCAAGATGAGGACGGCTCCCACTGTGGTCTCCCAGGGCCTCCTGCTCCGGGCAACGCTGCCTTATTTCTTTTGGGGCCCAGGCCTGGCCTCAGTCCCTGGGGAAAGTCCCTGTTGGTAGCTATAGACCCAACAGCCCCTGTTGGCTTTCTGACCTGCAGCCTTCCCTGCTCACGTCCTCATCTGTTCCCTCGCACCTGGGGCTGCCCATGGGGTGCCTGTGCACACAGTGATTCCCCCCGTGTCCCTGCCATTCTTACCACAGCGGGGTATTGTCAGGGCCGCACAAAGCCAGTGCAGGTGTGTTGTGGGCTTTGGGGCTTCCTCTTTGGGATCCTGTGATGAGAGACTTTTGGGTGAAAAGAGGTTGTAGAGGGGCATGCCTCCCCCTGTTCTGTGCAGCCCCCACCTTGCTTTATGCTGGGTATGCAGCATCCTGCTTGCAGTTTCAGAACTGCTGGGATAGAACTGTGCCCTGGTGGGCCGGTGCCCCTCCTCGCTTATCTCAGATCCTATGTGCTGCCCCACAACTGTCTTTCACTCACAGTGAGAGGTGGACCCCCATTCTTCTCTCAGGCTGGGCATTTCCCTGCTGCCAAGCTCAAGGAGACTAACCTTGCTGTGGAGTAGCTGGTGGCCTCAACCCTCTCTCACTTCAGAAATGGACCATTTCCCTGATGAGGGTCAGGGGCCAGCTGATACCAACGAACTAGTCTGTTCCTGGATTTGACTTGAATTTTTTAAAATATGCATCATTTAAAAAAAAATGTTTGCAAATATTTGCACATAGGGTCTTGCACTGTTCATTTCCAAGAGATAAGTCTTCAAACGGAACAATAAGGAGAGGAGACTGTCAGAGGCTCAGGGTGAAAGTGGTTGGCAGTAGGAGAGGCTCAGAGGCTGAGCTTTGGAAGCGGCTAGTGGAACGCAGACGGGCTGTGGTGTGCGTGTTGTGGTTATTCTGGACAGCAGCACTGAGCTAGGGAGGCACCACATGGCCTCCTGAGCAGAGCTGCAGCAAAGGGGGATGCCTCAGCTTTTCACTGGCTAGTTCACGTGGGCAGGACCTTTGGGGGAGTTGTTCATTCCCTGTCATTAAAGAAGTGAATGGAACATTTAATATCTGAGGTTTCAACATGCCATTTGGGGCAGCTATGGTACTGGACTGTGTCCTTAACACAGCTTCCTCCAGATGGGCTTACTGTCAAGCACAAATCCTTGTATTCTTCTCTTTGTATTTGACTGTTGACCCTACTGATAACAGAAAAACAGAGGTCACTGCCCCTGTGGCATCTTCTAGGTCTCCTGTGCGTCTTGGGAAACTTTGTTTATAAAATCACAGAGACATGAGCTACCTTGGCTTCGAATATGGCAGGAGGTGGCTGCGAGATGTTGGGAACAGATTGAGCTGCTGACTGGTGGCGGGAGGGAGACCTAATTTCATCTAAGCCCTGATAGCATTTCCCCTCTGGGTGAAGATCTGAAATGGGACCAGACTTGTGATTTTGATGGCTTGTAACTTGGAACTTTTGTTTAAAAAGTTGATTCATTTTCATTCTTCTCAGAGAGTGATGGAAGAGAAATATCTAAAATAATCTATGTATTTGTTGGATGAAGTCTACAAACTGGCTGACATGTATTAGTAAATGGAACATTGGTAGGTAACAGCAGATGGCTTATTTAACTGATGGTTTCTGTCTTTGTTAGTGCATTTAGCACTTGGGCTGACTATTTATGGATCCAGGCAAATTAATTAATTCTGCTTGGGTTTGCTGTTTTAGTTTCAACACTAGAGGTACATGTTTTTAAACGTCTTTTTCATATACAATGTGCCTCTAGTGAAGACAGTGGTCATCAGTTAAATAGATGAGGTCTGAGGTTGAGAATGAAACATCATCAGTACAGACCCAGTGTATTTCATTGCTGATGACTGCCAGTTTAGTTCACAACTTTACCTCTGTACACACCTGATATTTGTACAGTAAATATTTCAAGCCGTGCATGTAAAGTTTTTGCTGTTGTTTATGGGCATTTTAGCCACCAGAGCTATTATTGTGATAGCTGTTTTTAACCACTATTCCTCCACTCTATGAGCTGAAGGTCCATTTTTGTTACTTAAACTAGATCTTCCTGTGGCTGAGGTTTAATGACAGGAATCCATCACAGCTCTAATCTCTAAGTGAGCTCACCAACCAAAAACCTTTCATGTGCTCTGAAACAGATTCAATAAACATTTTGTACATGTTACCTGCCCCAAGCTGCATGTCTTGAAATTTACAATGCACCAGGTCTTTCTGCATCCTGTCCTCGCGTTCCTGTGTCCGTTCTTCCACTGTGTCCACCAGGGCAGTGCAGCATAGCAGTCCTGCCTTGACCAGCTGCCCCCGGGCTTGGTTTGCCATTCTCAGCTGCACTGGAAAGTCATTTTCTGGAGAAATAGCACCGTCTCCAGAGCTTGGAAAGCACTGAACAAAGTCTGAGAAGGCGAGGCCTCTCTTCTAAACCACTGCCTCCTCCCTTCCTGGGGCATCTGACCTAGAGGGAACACTTACTGCATTTCCTCAGAGACCATCTCCTCAGAGATCTCCCTCCAGTCTGCTTAGCAGAGGGAATTTATAATGCAGTTGACCCTGGAACGATGTGGTGGTTAGGAGCACTGACCCTCCATGCAGTCAAAAATCCACATAAAATTCTTGCTTCCCCTCCCCTAAAACTTAATTACTAAAACCCGCTGTTGTCCAGAAGCCTTACTCGTGGTAACCACACATAATTTCTATGTTATATATAGACTGTATACTTCCAACAAAATAAGCTAGAGTCAGAAAATCAGAAGGAAGAGGATGTATATTTATATCTACAGACATTTAGGTCTTGTATTTACTAATACTGTAAGTTTATGTCATCTGTTTAAAAGAACATCCCTGTTGACCAACAGACCCTCAGAGTTCAAACCCGTGTTCTCCGAGGTGATCTGGATGGGCTGGATTCTCCATCCTCCCCTCCATTATTTGGAGAGAGGACCTGCACCCTCTATCTTTCTCCCAGGTGAGGACCTTCCTCAGACTGCTCTCCAACTAAGCATCTTCCAACTGAGGCTTCTTGCGAGGTGACCTGTGAACACAGTTGGAAGCCAGGGCCCAAAGTTTATGCTCTTTACCCTGAATATATTGTTCTAGCAGTGCTGGAGTGGCCTTATAAGGACATTCAAAGGGGTGTGAGCTGACTGATGGAAAATCCTTGAGGATAGAAAGGCAACTGGGGACATTTTTGTTGAACCTTTAGATTTAAACTAAGAAAGGAGCCACTGAGCACTGTGCCACAATAGGTTTCCTGCCACCGGTGGGCCCCCAAATTCTCTCTTCCATCCACTCACCCACTGGTCAAATAATGGGGGAGGGGCCACTTGGGAAGGCTCTTTTCTTGGTGCTGGGAATGCAGTGATGGTCAGATAACCAAAGACCTGCTCTCTGGGAGCTTACAGTCTAGTAGAGGAAGCTGGCCCACAGCTTCTTAGTTTTTCTAAGAATGAACAGCATCAGATAAAATAAGATGCAGTAACTAGGGAGTGATGAGGGAGCATTTAAGTGGGGAGGCTAGAGAAGTCATCTTAAAGTTGATTTGAGTCAACTGAGACTTGAATGATAAGGATTTGGCCTTTCATTTCCTATCATGGCCATAGCAAACCACCACAGAGCACCAGCGTGCAGGTTTATGAGCTCACCAGTCTCACTGGTTAAAAGGAAGGTGCTGGCTGGGTGCATTTCCTTTCTGAGCCTCTAAGCAAGAATCCGTTTGATACCTTTGCTTGCTTCTATGGGCAGCCCGTGTTCCTGGGCTCATGGTCCCCTTCTTCCATCTTCAATCCCACAAAGGTGGACTGAATCCCTCTTGCTTCCTATTGAGCCAACTTTTGCTTCCTCTCCTTTGCACTTTTGAGGACTCTGTGAGGATCCAGGCCCACCCAGATCATCTCAGATAATCTTCCTGTCAATGTCTCCATGGTACTGCCCCTGCTGTCCCCTGCGCATGCGTCTCAGGAGAAGAAAAGACCGGTCTTGTCCAGTCCTAGATATCTATCCCAAGAATGAAAACTCACTCACTGAAGGGAGAATTTCACTCTCAGTTTCACTGCAGCTCCATTTTCAATAGCCAAGCTCTGGGAACAACCTAAGTGGCCAAAGAGATGAGTGGATTAGAAAGATGAGGGATATAGTAAAGTACAATGGAGTACTATTCAGCTATAAAAAATAAACACTTGCTACTTGAAACAACAGGTGGAGCTGGAGGGGATAAAACTGACCAAAATAAGTCAGAAAGAGAAAGGCACATATCGGGTGGTTTCACTTATTTGTGGAATATAGAGAAACAGCGGTCAGAAAAACCAAACCAGTAACAAAATCTAAAAATCTGACTATAGAATTGAGACTACCAAGGGGGAGGGAGCATCATGGACTCCAGTGGAGGACTGTGTGGTGCATACTTTGTGGTGACCGTGGTGTGGTAGAATACCTCTGAAGAAGTGTGAACTTACACCTCTAAATCTAATACCGTGTTGTAAGCCAATGTTCTCTCAAGTAATATATGAAAATAATAAGTTTAGTAATTAG